AACTGTACCAGGGATTCCTAATGAGAAGTCTGCATGTCACAATTACATTTGAGAACTCTGGTACATATAAAATAAGCTCTTTCAAAATGTGATTCCAGTTTTATTTAGAAATGCATCTACTGAAATGAAGCATAATGCACACAGGTTATGTTAATCATGAATGTGATCATGGATAGTTTGAGTAGATTTGTCAGATACAGAGTCTCCATCAGGTAATTTGTGAAACCAAATTATTATTATTCACCTGAAAGGTTCAGAGAGGCAGTTTTTGAAAGGTTCTTAGTGAAGCTTTGGCTCCTAAAAAAAAACTGTACAGTTTATAGACCGAATAGTTTCTACACGAGGGGAGAGAAGAGAAATTGGAGCATTGTCAGTAAAAAAAAAAAAAAAAAAAAAAAAAAAAAAAAAAAAAAAAGTTACCTTTATTTCTACTACCACTCCATTCTTTGAAACAAAAGTAATTTGTGAAGTCAGGAAGTAAAGGCAGTGAAATTCAACACAGACCAGTTTATCTGATGCTTTTTCAATGTCCAGTTTGCACGGCTCTGAGTTCCCTGCTGAACTGTAGCCATATGGTGGGGCGGTGGGAGGGGAGGTAGAAATAAGTTGCAGTCTTTCCCTTCAGGTTGCTAATAATATATTTGAATTTTATGTTTATTGTTCTCTCGCTTGTTTATATGGTCTTGCCACTTATTTATAAATTTCTAAACAATCCATTGCTGAGTTTACATAATTTTGAACTTTATATAAGTGGAATCAAGCTCTTTTGTTCTGTAACTTAGCTTGTTTTTTTCACTCAAAATTATCTTCTGAGATTTATCAGTGTTGAGGCATAGAGTAATCATTTATTCATTCTTCATCACTATAGAGTTTCATTTTATGAATATGCTATAGTTTGCAAACTTATTTTTGTTTTACAGGAATGCTGAAATTTTTGTAGGTTTTTGTTTGTCCGTTTTGCTCTTACACACATGACCACCTTGAACACCCTTGTACATCTGGTACTCATGTGCAAAAGTTTCTCTAGGTATTTAGTAGTACCTAGAGGTAGAATTGTTGAATCATTGGGTATGTGCCTCTTTATCTTTGTTTCTAGATAATGCCAACTTGTTTTCCCAAGTATTAATTTACACTCATCCCTTCAGAGTCTCTCCAACACTTGGTATTAGCCAACTTTTGAATTATTTCCAGTGTGATTAGTACGAAGTAATATTTCATGTAGTTTTAATTTGCATTTTCCATGTGTTTATTACCCATCCTGTTGCTTTTCTGGAAATGCCCATTTGTATACTTTGCCCTTTTTTTTCTGGGTTTGTGTGTGTGTGTGTGGGGGGGGGGTCTATCTTTTCTTAATGCTTTTTAAAAATATTTGATTTCAGAGAGAGGAAGGGAGGGGGAGAGGGCGGTAGAAACATCAATGAGAGAAAATCATCAATCAGCTACCTCCTGCATGACTGGGGATCTAGCCCACCACCCGGGCATATGCTCAGACCACGAACTGAACCGTAACCTCCTGGTTTACTAGTATAGGTTGAAGCTCAACCACTGAGCCACTGCGGTCATACTCAATTTTTTTTATTATTCATTCAAAGACCATGCTTGGCTTTTTTTATTTGCTTTATCATAAATTTACTTCTTATTTCATTAGTATTTGCTCTTGCCTTTATTATTTCTACTTTCATTGTATCTGTTTTGATGATCTTTTCCTAATTTCTTTTGTTGAGTGCTTACCACATTAATTTTCAATCTTTCCTCTTTTCACGTAGGAAATTAAGGCTATAAATATCTAAGTGCTATAATATGTAGGTTCTACATATTTTAAAATTTTATGTTTTCATTTTCTTTTCTAACTTCTATTATGTTCCCTTTTTGCTCATGAATTATTTAGATGTATATTTAGATGCACAAGCAATTATAGCAAGTTTGCAGGATACAATTAATCCAAAAGCCAATCGTTTTACTATATACCAACAATGAACAAGTGAAATTTGAAAAAAAAAATGCTATTTACATGAGCAGGCAAAAAAAGATAAAACACTTAAATATAAAGCTAACAAAATATGTATAAGATATATTTGAAGGAAACTGTAAAACTTGTGAAAGAGATTAAAAAAAACCTATAAATGGAGAGATAGCCCGTGTTCACAGATAAGACTGAATATTATCAAGAGAGAGTTTTTCCCAACTTGATTTATAGATTCAGTGCAATCATAATAAAAATCCCAGCAAGTTATTTTGTGGATGTCAACAAACTGATTCTAAAGGACCCTAATTTAAACTATGGACTTTGGTGATAATGATGTGTCAGTGCAGCTTCATTGGTTGTAACAAATGTTCCTTCCTGGTGCAGGATGTTGATAGTGGGGAAGGTATGCATGTGTGAGGATAATGGTATATGGAAACTCTCTGTACTTTTTGTTTAATTTTACTGTGAAAATCAAACTGCCCAAAAAATAAAGTCTTAAAAATGAGGTTTGGTTTTTTCTCTCCCCTAAGTTTGGAAGATAATTTTACTAGGACTCTCTGTAGGATGAAAGTTATAACACGTGGATTATTCCCACTATTGCTGCTGAAAAGTCAGCCGTCCGTTTGGCAGCCCTTCAGTGGTTAATGTCTCTTTTCTTTTCTGGCTTCTTTTTTTCTTTGGCATTCTGTCCTTTCCACATGTTGTGCCTAGGTATCCATTTCTTATTACTTGGTTTGGAATTCATTGGGTTTCGTTGCATGAGAGAATTTGTTCTTTCATTCATTTTGGAAATTTGTAAGCTGCTATCTCTCTGAATAATTACTTTTCCCTTTCTATTTTTTCCTTTAACTCCATGAAGTACTAGTATGTGAGACTCTTACTGTTCCCAAAAAACAGACTTCTTAGAGTTACTTCATCTTTGTCAAAAGCCGTAGAAAATATATCCTATGTAGGAGTTTCTGGACTTGCCCTTATAATCCACCTCAACCATGACCTTCCTGAATTGTCCTCCATTGTGAAAACCATTTGCTTAGAGTTGGAAAAATACAATAACACAAAATAATGTTTTCCATTGGTGGGATTCATAGTAACCTGATTTTTGGCAATATGGCTGCCAAGTTTTCAATTACAACTAGAGGCCCAGCGCACATGAAATCGTGCGCAAGTAGCTCGCTTCCACTTGCCTCAGCTGGCTGCCCCATCCGTCGCCACTTGTAGCTTGCGTCCCACCTCACCTGCTGCGAGAGCCGCTGCTCGTTTGGTCATGACAGCGTTACAGCGTGACGGCCACGAGCCTTTTATATAAGCGATAGTATTGAAACATGAAGTGACCCAGTCTTGTTATGGGAAATGATGGAACTGTTTCATGATGGAAATGGAGTGGGTAGTATCACCAATCAATGCCACCTGCAGATTTTTTATATAGTTAGCATAAATTTGGAAATTAGGGGCATAACAAGTTGAAAAGGAGTTTCTAGGGCTGCCAATATATGGCATAAATTTAAAGCTAATTTTTAAAAGAGATTTACAGCTCACTTTTATCAGTTGGTTTCAAAAAGCTTCCTATTCACCCGTTAATAAAAAGATAACCCCTAATTAGCTCCTCATAGGCTACTATGAAGTCATAAACAATAGGGAAATGGATACTAAGCTAAATACCAGCTAATGAAAGTCTCCATCTGGAAGTATTTGAAAGATAGCTTATCAGAACAAATATTCAAATGTATCTGCTTCAGTACATTTCTCAACATTTGGAAGGAACATATGCTGAATAAGAACCTGTAAGTAAACACCTGCTGATAGCATTCAGTATGGCCATATCCACTTTTGCCAAATTACCATCTAAAATTATTGAAATCTGTTATTGCCAGGGATCTTGGTTTTGTCCAGAACTTGCAATGGCAAGAAACAACAAGCTACCAACCCTTTGCAAATTAAAATAACAAGTGGCACAGTTCAGTCAGTTTTGTCTTAGTAACCTTAAAAAGAAAAACTAAGCAACAATTTTAAGCAGGCTGGACAGGATGGGAGGAGAATAAGGTTTCCCTTTGTTTAGATGGAACAGCATGGATACAAAAAAATAATTCAGGGGTAAGCACAGAATACCTTTCCAGCTGATAGTTATTGCTTGCCTACTCTATACAGCGTGGTTCGGATAATCACTGCACGTGCATTGGTCATGAAGAAGATCAAAAATAATTGCAAGGGCCACCTTGGAAATAACTAAAACTCATACAGTTTAGTACATTTATTGAGAGCTTGTATGTTGCAGGCGCTGACTGTGCTAGACATTAGGACAAAAAAAAGAAAAAGACATGGCTCCACCCTTATGTGCTTATATAAATGAATGCATTCATATAAGTAAATTTAAGACATGCTATTCTAGATTCCCTGCCACAGTGTGACTTGACTGTACATGGGTGTGTGAGCCAGGTTCACCACACCCTGATGCAAAGATGAGAGTGACTAGCTATGACACAGAACGCTCCATTGTAAGGCTCTGGCACTTGAGCGGTGTGCCTCAGATGAATTCTCTGAGGACTGGGTGGGGAAGCTGGAAATGCTCTTTCAGGGAAATTGCACTGATGAGGCAGCCATTAATATACAAGAAACAAAGAGTCTTTCATTCCTATGTCAGCCTCAGGGCTCTACTTGCTAGTGCTTCTTCACCTTAGTTTGCCCCAGACTATCAGAGTTCATTGTCACTCTCTCCTCCCCATCAGCAAGCAGAGGCAGGACTGAGATCGGAATACTTACCCAGAAGCAGAAGAGAAGTTTGTAGGTTGTGGGGTTGGTTTGTTTATTTGTTTGTTTGTTTTGCACTGAGAAGAATGAGAAAGCAATAATGCTTCATGTAGTCCCATAAAAGCAGAACTTTAAAAAACAACAACTAGAATTAGTTTCAAAAACAGAACTTCTACGATGGGAGTCAAGAACTGACCAATTAATATTCCAACTAAACGAAATTATAAGTACCTTCTTATTTATACAATCTTTTTTCCCCATTTCCTGGCTTAACAATTTTTTTTTTCAGATTGATATCCACCTGGTTAATGGAGAGCATATTGAAACCTTCCACGAAGATCTCACCTTTGCACAGGACACATTGGCTTCACCGAGTTTACCCAAGATAGCTGATGACCTGAAAGGTATATTCATACTCTCTATCCGGTATGTTCTGCCACAGTAGTTATTCTTTGCATTTTTCATTACTTTTATTCTTTCAGTGTATCTTTAGCATCTGTAAAGATGATGGGCAAGTATGTAGGGCACTTTGGCAGGAAGTCTTAGGGGAGGTGTGAGGAGGGGAGTGTCTCAATAGAATATTCATCAGCTTTCTAGGTGTGCTCTTTCAGGGTCATGGTGCCAGGGCAGGGGGTTATTAGTCAATGTAGCTGGTCCTGAGGCAGCCAGGAGTCATTTGTCTGGTTTTGCTGCTTTTCTGGTCCTGGAGCTGCAATACCACTGAGGCCTGGATGTTATCTCCTAGGGAGGAAAAGTCAGGGGGGGAGAAGTTACTCTGGGAATGAAGTCCTTGTTTTCCTCAGTTTTGCCCCTTGCTAGGCACCCAGGGCTTTCCACCCTGGTGACCTTTTTGTACGAGGCTTTAAATTGCTCAGTTAGTTGTTGGTTTGTTGTTGTTTTTTTTTTCCAGCTATCTGTCTCAATTTGCCTATTCCACTTACCAAGGAATTTTTCTAGCTTCTTACTAACCTTCCTCAGTAACTGAAACAGGAATTGTGTTGTTAGGGGGCTGGTGTTAATCAACTAAATCTTGGTAACAGAAATTTGTGTATATTGTAGCTGTGCAGAGTGAGTGTTACCAGAAAGGGGGCCTGGCCCTGAGCGGGTCTGCCTAGGGCCAGGCAGTAATGCGGGTGCCTGACTTCGTTCAGGAAAGATTTCACAACACGAGTCCAGGTGATTTTTAGAGACATTTATGAGAGCTGGGGACAATGAAACAAGGAAGGGCCTAGGACAGAAGAAGCAACAGGAGAGAGACTAGGTGGGGAAATGAGCCTAGATGGGGATGCTTGGGCTCACTAAGTCGAGAAAAGGGGGCCTTGGGGACAGGTTCAGGGGGTTAGCTCAGGATGAACTGCCACTGCCCACTGCCCTGGTTGCAAGTCTCGTGAGGTCCTTCGGAGTTTAGGGGATGCACGCCTGTGGAAAAAATCCTCTTGAGAATTTTTAAAGGCTGGGAGTCTAGGAGGTCTTAGGGGAAGATCTCAATAGGATATTTTTCAACTTTATGCTAATGTACCAAAATGAGATTTATTCCCTTGGGTGTGGATGACAAGTGGCACTAATTGGATTTCTACTATTTATCTCCCTGAGTTAGGTGATTTAAGCTATATGTCCTCTGGTTGGGGAGAAGTGCATACCATTTACTCTTAAGTGTACTTGGACACAGAAGATAGGATTTTGCAATTTACTAGATGGCTGTAAACTGCTTGGCCCTTTATCTGTCTCAGTTTCCCTATTCTGCTTGTCTTGGCTTACTAGCCTGTGCCATTAAGACTGCCTATATATTCAAAGGGTTTATACTATAATTGTCCATGTGCTTCTTGGCCTAATTTTAATTACCTTACGCTTATGAAATTAACTTTGAAGATATTTTGCAATTGAGAATTTATTCCCACTTGTTTGAAATGGTTTTCTTGCCCTAGCTGGTTTGGCTCAGTGGATAGAGCATCAGCCTACATACTGAAGGATCACTGGTGCAATTCCAGTCAAGGGCACATGCCTGGGTTGCAGGCTTGATCCCCAGTAGGGGGCGTGCAGGAGGCAGCCAATCAATGATTCTCTCTCATCATTGATGTTTCTCTCTCTCCCTCTCCCTTCCTCTCTGAAATCAATAAAAATATATTTTAAAAAAGAAAAGAAAAAAAGAAAGAAATGGTTTTCTTACTAGTTCATTTTTAGGAGCTCTTACTGGTTTTTCATATTCTTTACCTTGATCTTGGTGAACTGGTAATTACTTCATGATTCCCTGCATTAAATTAAATGCTGACCATCTTCAATTTCCTTTTCTACCTCCATTGGTAGATCTTCCAAGTGGCTCACTGACATATCGCTTAGAAGATCTGGCCTACACAAGAAGTGGGGACAAAGGCAACTCTGCAAATATAGGTACGTTTTTGTTTATAAAAGCCATTTTTCACATCTCTAGAATTGGTTTCAGTCACTTTCATTTGGATTCAAACCACAAAAGTTTTTGTTTACTGCATTAGTGAAGGTAATATTGAGTTGTCCAATGCCATCTAGCTATTTTCTTACTGATATAACAAACAAAAATGTGTGCTTCAGATGAACTGTGCCTTTCAATAATACATTTTCACAAAGAGATAAATAATTTAAACAAACTTGGGGCCAGAAGATTGACTCCTATATCATAGTATGATAAGGCACTTATTGTATGAATTGGCCTGTTGACAAGAGCTCCCTTTTAATCTTCTTTTCCCTTCTCGAAATAGTACAATACCTTATTATCACACTTCTGTTTTTCCTGATTCATATATATTTCCTTTCTTTATATATTTTTAAAGAATACCTCTCTACCTCTTAAAAATCCTTTCTCCTTTTTCTCTCCAGAAATTGCCAGATCCTTTTCTCCTTAGAATAACTTCCCTGGTTCTTTTTCCTTTTTAACCTCTTGGAATGCCATTTACTCATCTCTTTACTGAAATCCCAATACCCAGACTGTCACTTAATTAATGTCTTTAAGTGGACTGTAAATGCCTTTGTCTTTTAGTAAAAATAATATATCTAAAACCAGAGTAGACCTAAATCTCCATTGTCTAGTGAGTTTGCAAACTGAAAAGAAAACAGGTGAACAAATACAGGTGCCTATATCTGAAATCTTATAAACAATGACTCCGTTGACACTTTGTCTATTCCTGGAAGGCTATCAGGATTATGGCCACAGGCAGTTGGTGTACTTCATCTTCACCATTACCCGCTGTATTTATTTGAGCTGTTTGAGCTGAGATAACTAAAAGAAATGGATTAGCCGACCTTTTATTTCTGAACAATCCCTAGAACAATGATTTTCAACCTTTTTCATCTCATGGCACACATAAACTAATTACTAAAATTCTGCGGCACACCAGAAAACGTGTTTTTTGCCAACGTGACAAAAAAAATAGGTATAATTCTGATTGATTTACAACAACAAAAACAAAAATAGAAATAATAGTTACCTACCTGTTTTGCTCCAAAATGACTTTTTAAAAGTCAGGTGCCTTTACTTGCATATAAGGATTTCTGGTATCAAGTATTAGCCAAGCAGATGCATCCTTATTTTGCGATGAATCAGTAAGTTGCTACTCCATTATATGACCTACATATTTATGGTTCAAGACAGGACATTCACATCAGAGGGCTATTGTTATGTTGGGTATTGTAATTTTTTTTATTTGACAATTTAAGGGAAAAGAGGTCAGTGCCCCTGACTAAATAGTCAGGTATTGCATGTTTTAAAAATTTTGCACCAAAAAAAAAAAAAAATTGCACCACATCAGTGTGCCATGGCACACCGGTTGAATAGAGCAGTGAGCATGATTGTCAAGCTCATTGGCCTCTGAAACTTATAGTCTTTTGAAGTTAATATTCTCATATTTTTTTTGATTTTGCATCATCTTCCATCCTTTCTTCTCAAATTGCAACTATTTGGCTTATGCTTAGTTTTAAAAATTGAAAGAATGAAAGTAAATTCTTAGAATTTCATAATGCCCTTTGAAATAATTAGAGTTGCCAGACAAAATAAGGAATGCCTTGTTAAATTTGAATTTCAATTAAATAATGAATATTTTTTAGTGTAAGTATGTCCCATGCAATGTTTAGATATGTCCTAAATTAGACATCTAAATCTGGCAACCCTAAATTAGAGAAACCCTATATATTGCCAAAGCAAGAGATTCACTTTGATGATAATAGTTTGTCCACTCTATCTCTTCAAACCCCTTTTTCTCCTTCACCATCCCATACACAATATCCTCACAGAATCAGATTAAGATACTTCAAATTAGCAAGTCATTTTGATCAACCTTCAGCATATGTGCTTAGTAACGTGATGTTTTGTATACAATAGGCATCATAGCACGGCACCCTCTCTACTACCCATACTTAAAAAAATTTCTAACTGCTCAAGCCATAGAAGATTATTTCCAACATATTCTGCATAAAGAACAACCTGGAGAAAACTCGGTGATAAGGTATGTTTTAACTTAAGTGATTGAATTACCACATTTATATTTGGGGCTTATAATAGTTGAGCATATTGATTTTGAATTAGGAGATCAATGGCTTTTATTTTGATTCTAGAACTTTTTTCTTTTGCCCATATTATGGGAGATACAAAATAACAGAAGACAGGAATGCTCTCTTTCAAAATGAATTGGTGGTCATGCTGAATTGACATCTTTGAACACTAAAGTGACAAAATTTGAAGCAGCTAGAAGTCAACATAAGACCCTTTACCATATGCTAAAATTGAATGGTCCAAACATCAAACCTAGGGGATGGGAGAGAACTGTGTATGACATGGTCTAGGGAAAAATGTGAGAGAAATAGTATATTGGCCCTTTAGGTGTTGCCTCAGTATGAGATTCTTAATATAGTTGCATATAGTTGAATCATATGCCAGAGAAATTGATTAATAAGTAAAATGTAAATAGTCTAATTTTCTTAAAATTAAAGAGTTTTTAAAAAGAATATGCAATATATTTTAAAACTAAATTAATTAGGTATTATTTGATATGATTATGTTATATATTTTTAAAGGTGATTATTTTCTGTGAAAAAAAAATTATACAGTTTTTCTTTTGATCAGCTTCTATTTCATTATCTTTAAGTTCTATTTATTTTCTGATAGCTGACTTTTAGAAATTCAGTTATCTTAACAGTTTAATCTAAGACCAGAAGACTGACATAATTAGATGAATTTATTTACTATCAAAATGAACAATCAGAACATTCAGAGTTAAAGGTGGTATAATATATATTTACAACTTAGATTTTGGTGTTTTTTTAAGAAATTTTATTTTATATTATCTCTTATAGTGTTTTGATACCTAACTCCAAACCTTCACTTCATTCATAGATGCTACTACTTCTATACAAATAATCTTTTCTGTAGTCTTTGATTTTGGAATATGGTCTTAAGAACCTGCTTAAAACACATTGCAAGTGTTTTCTCTGTTTTGTTCATTAGCGTTTTATGCCTGACTAAAAGCAACAGTGAGGTTTGACATCATTTTTGACACTCCTTCACCCTAAAGTAAAGCCACTGGCACTTTCCACACTGAAGGTGGATCTTTTGACATGTCTTGACTTACTTTAGATGTTTGGAAATGTCGGGTCAATAGCTGTGGGAATGGAAAGTGCTGCTACACTTTGATAAAGGAGATTAGAAGGCAGGGCATTGCAGTTAGAAGGTTTATGCAAGAGTTTGAGGAAGAACGGCAGGGACCAATGCAAAACAGATCACTATCAGTGCTTTGAGTGGGAGGAGTATTTGAAATAGGCTGAGGTTGCAACTGAAGAATCACTGGAAGGTGTAATGGAGGGCTATGATCCAGTAGACTTGGGTCAAAATAGGGTGAAGCTATTGGCAGGTTGCAGCCCACTGGCTTAGTCATAGTGAGGTCATGATCAGATGAGTTAGCAAAGCATATTGAGGATTTCTTAAGGAACACGAGACAGCCAGATAAGCAGAAGCTGAGGTCTGGCTCTGAGAAAATATCAGTTTCTATAAGTTTATTTTAATAAGAGGCTATATTTAACTTAGACTTTTTCTTTTTTTTTCAATCCTCACTCAAGGATATGTTTTTATTGATTTGAGAGAGAGAGGAAAAAACATTGATCGGTTGCCTCTCATACACGTCCCGACTGGGGATTGAACCCACAATGTAGGTATGTGTCCTGACCAGGAATCAAACCTACAACCTTTTGGTTTATGGGATGGTGCTCTAACTAAGGGAATCACCTAGCCAAGGGCTTTTCTCTGTTTGGGCAGATAAACAAGTCTTCATAGATGGCTCTGTCATTATGTTAGTATTTCTAAGACTGTGTCTCTTGGGCACATCATCAGCTGTATTTTCAAACTACCCAAACCTTGTTTGTGCGGGGGTAAGTCTGCCTGGAATTCTCAGCAGGGGGCCTCTTTGCAGCTAAGTTCTCTGATTTACTTTAGCCTCCTTCTGGAATTTTTACTCTGATCCCTCCCTGGGCAAAGGGCCAAGCTTATAAAACCAGGCTTTAGATCAGGGTTTAGACATACATAGCCTATAAAAATGCCTTAGTTAGCAATAAATAATCTCCTGTGCAACTGTATTTGGCTCTACTATGCTATGTGTGTTTAGCAATTGCTCTTACTGGGAACATATCTATTGAAGTAGGTTGGGGATGATATACATTTCTCAATCAATGGGGGAAAACCTAAGAATATTTCTTTTACTGTCTCCTTATTAAATTTTTTAAAACTATTGAACTCTGATCTTAGGTCCCTGAGTGTTCCTGGGGAAGGCGATATATTAGTGTGATGCGATTATGCTACAATGTTAACCCGTCTAATGCCAGCTAAGTGATTCCTAACCCCTGGGCATTAGGAAATGAGTGGGGTTTTCCAGTTATCACAGTGACGGGGAGCAGTGTGGGCACTGGGTGGACAGGAGCCAGTGCTGCAGACTTCCTACAATGCATATGACAGTCCTGCAAAACCAAGAATTACCCTGCACAAATGCCCATAGCACTGCCATGATTGGCAATACTTGTAGTCATCTCATTGACTCCCAGCTGCACTCCCACTGGTAACTGCCCTACCACTTTTTCTGCTCTTCTCAAACCATTCAATTCCTGCCATAATTCCATATTTTTTTTCTCAGACTCTTCATATCATTCAAGGAAAACTTACTCAAATTTGCTCCCTCTTCCCCTTACAATTCTGTATCTATACCTATCCTGTTCTCCTTCCTCCCCTCTCAGTGAAAGACACCTTTCATCTCCCTTCAAGTAGAACAACTCCACCCAAGGTTTTGGTTTCATCCCATCCCATCCTACCCCATCCCATCTCATCCCATCCCCAGCTCTGCCTCTTACATCTTTAAAGCCTTGCCAGTCCAGCCCTGGCCATTGTGGCTCAGTTGGTTGGCCATTGTCCTGTGCACCAAAAGGTTGCCCTTTCAATTCCCAGTCAGGGCACATGCCCAGGTTACAGGCTCAATCCCTGGTAGGGGGCATGCAGGAGGCAGGCAATCAATGTTTCACTCTCACATAAATGTTTCTCTCTCCTTCTCCCTCTCTCTCCAAAAATCAATTTAAAAATCTTTAAAAATATAATAATGCAACCTGCCCTTTTTCCCATCTGTCTTTTCACAACCAAACACTCCTCTGTATCCTAACAAATCCTAGCAAAATGATCATTCCCCTGGGAACCCTCCTTAATCTCTACTTTTTACTCTTTAATTGCCTTCTGCTTTGCTTTGGAATGTATGTCTCTCAATCTTGTATTAAGGTTGTTGTATCGACTTTCTGGCACCATCGGCTCCTTGCAGCATAGGAAGTACGTTTTGTTCTTCCTCTATCCCATCCTTACATTCTTTCCTTCTGGACATCAAGTATAGATGGTAAGCCATGATAGATGCTCAATAATTATTTGTGACCCTTAGATCACTTTTTCATAGATTTTTGTATTAATTTATAAGCTGGTATTTAGTAGTGAAAAATATCTCTAGTGAAGGAAATCATTAAATGTAACTAATTTTTTTACAGAGATTTTTTGGGGGAGGCATTTAAAATACTTTGAATTATTAAATTGTATTATTTGGGATCCATTTTCTTTAGTTGGTAGTAGAATAAATTTTTGAGGATGGAAAGTAAAGCTTTTGCAGGAAAGATTAGAGAATTTTATTTAAGTGTGAGAATGCTAAGGATCATGTTAGGATGTATTGGTTCCTAAAGGTTTACTTTTTCAGTTATATTTTTATGTAGGTGGAAAGATTCACCTAGCTGTTTTTTGCACACATTGTGAATGTCATTTGTGAATAGTTATGCAATAAATAAAAATACTTTAGGAAAAGGTGACTTTGGGTGTCTGCTCATCCTCAGTGCACCGGCTACCTGCCCCCTGGCCGTGCAGGTCTGTTTTTCTCTGCTCCCAGGCCCTCTGCCACAACCATGCTCCACCAGGTCCTCAGTCAGGCCAACAAGCATCCAAGCTTGGTCCCCCTCTTGGTATTCATTGGAGCCCGAGGTGCTGTCTTGTGCCTGGCATTGTTCAATCCTGATGTCTGTTGGGACAGAGAGAATAACCCGGAACCCTGGAACAAACTGGGTCCCCATGATCAACACAAGTTCCACTCAGTGAATGTAGATTACAGCAAACTGAAGAAGGAAGATCCACTTCTAAACGAAAGGTTTCACTATAAAGCTGCTTAGAATGAAGGTCTTCCAGAAGCCATCCACACAATTTTCCACTCAACCAGGAAATATTTCCCCTCCAAATGCGTGAAGTCATGTGAGTGTATTCAGTTAGTGTATTTTTTTTAAATATATTTTTATTGATTTTAGAGAGGAAGGGAGAGGGAGGGAGAGATAGAAACATCAGTGATGATGCACGCCCCCCACTGGCGATAGAGCCCACAACCTAGGCATATGGGCCGACCTGGAATTAAACTGTGACCTCTTGGTTCATAGGTTGATGCTCAACCACTGAGCCATGCCAGCCAGGCCTTGAGTTAGTGTACTGATACTGATGAATAAATATCTGAAAGTTGAAAAAAATATTTTAGGATGATTGACATTTTTAATGTTTCTAATTTTTTTTTATAGTTTTCTGACTTAAAAAAAAAACTCTGTCCCCAAGGAAGTTAATTTGCATCATAACTGAGGTATTTTGTCAGAAAAAAACAAGCCTTATATACAGGGTGGGATAAAAGTAGGTGAGCCCTGGCTGGTTTGGCTCAGTGGATAGAGTGTCGGTCTGCAGACTGAAAGGTCCCAGATTCGATTCCGGTCAAGGGCATGTACCTTGGCTGTGGGCACATCCCCAGTAGGAGGTGTGCAGGAGGCAGCTGATCGATGTTTCTCTCTCATCGATGTTTCTGGCTCTCTATCCCTCTCCCTTCCTCTCTGTAAAAAATCAATAAAATATATTTTTAAAAAAATTTTAAAAAGTAGGTGAACATGAGAAACAGTTTGTTCTTGTATTATTATT